TTTTGGTAATTAACACATACGGTTTTCCTTTTAAGGTACCCCATAATGCTAAATGATGAATCTTTTCACAGTCAGGAAAATCCCTTCATTTACATACAAGTGACACATTTATCACCTATTAAGGGATAGTTGATTCATGCTCCTTCTTTATTGTATTATTAGACATTTTCAATTGTAAACATAAACATTCTGATAAATACCATGTACATGTACATTTGTATGTGCATACTCGTGTATTTTCAAATTATAGGATCATGCAAAACACACGCCTTGGCTCAAGTTATATGGAAATAATTAATTTGTATTCTCTTGTTTAAAATGAAAAAAGATCACAAATGAGCAGAAGCTAAACTAACTTTTTTCCAAGTCCACACCAAGATTGATAGACTTAAGCTTGGGTTGAGAAAACGTACCGTGTTTATCGATTTGATATTATTTATTCTAGTTTAGATTTCATTCCTGAATGACATCGTTGTTTTCATATTTTGAAGTACAAAAGGTAAAGCTGCTTACGATTTAGTACAGTGTTATTATAATAGTGCATTTCTTCCTACACCTGAGATTCATGTTGTATTTGCAACTGGACGTTTACACAAATCAATCCATCAACCCATTTATTATGTGTCTATAAGATGTAAAAAAAAATATCAATTTACTGTTACAATTCATCGTCTCAGTTAAAGTTTCCGTTCTGATACAAGCATATCGAATTGTAAACTCTGTTGTAAAGAAAGTTATGAACATTTTAAAGCATTTGTGTTTTGCAAGCAAGATCTTAAAAAAAATCCCCATTACTGTTTTAAATACTTTCCATGGTTCTGGAGTAAAGCTTTGGGGATTTTCTTATTTATTCAAATAGAAAAAAATATCATCGGTCCGACATTTAAAAAGCACCCTGCCATTTTTTAATATCATTAATTATATCTTCAATCAGTTCTGTTTTGAATCGGGAAGAACAATATCTACTTCAAATCAAATATTCGCTCAGTGTGCCTCTCTGAAACCATCAATACGTGAACTTTGCTGCAAAAATTACTATACAATATATGGATTTATTTTTTCCGTAAATGCGAAATAATCGACACATCTTACAGCATTTACTAGGGTCTGGATGGGGTCTTTCATATCTGTATTCTTTGATAATTTAGGTAATATTTCTCTATTTTTTTTATATTTTATGTCCATTGTCATGATTATTTTCTATTCTGTATATATTAGACCCTTTTTATCTAATTTTTTGGGAGTAAATTATTTTCTTTTTTTTCTTCTTTTAGCTCTAATCACGACCCTCATTTACGTTTGTTGTGCAGGCAAGATATAAACTGCAGTCTCGCAAAGCTGTACCTCTGTGAAGACAACTTAACAGTATCAATGTTTAATATGATAACTATGAAGTAAATAAAATGCATTTCTTTACATACATGAATACATCCGACAAATGTTTGCAAAAATAAGCAAATATTTGTCAGCATTTACTTAGATTGTAAATGTTTTATAAACCGCGGTCTCTCAAAACTTTGCATACCGGTGTAAAGATATGTTGCAAATATCAATATTTAGCAAAATAACTATAATACTGGAAAGTATTAGTAAAAAAAATACACTTCTTTACATACATAAACGATATCGACAAACGTTTGCAAATATAACACAAACATTTGACAGCATTTACTTTGGTTGTAAATGTTTTATAAACCGCGGTCTCTCAAAACTTTGCATACGTCTGTAAAGATATGTTGCAAATACCAATATTTATCAAAATAACTATGATAATGGAAAGTATTAGGTAAATAAAATACATGTCTTTACATACATAAACTATATCGACAAACGTTTGCAAATATAACACAAACATTTGACAGCATTTACTTTGGCTGTAAATGTTTTATAAATCGCGGTCTCTCAAAACTTTGCATACGTCTGTAAAGATATGTTGCAAATACCAATATTTATCAAAATAACTATGATAATGGAAAGTATTAGTAAATAAAATACATTTCTTTACAAACATGAACGATATCGACAAACGTTTGCAAATATAACACAAACATTTGACAGCATTTACATTGGTTGTAAATATTTTATAAACCGCGGTCTCTCAAAACTTTGCATACGTCTGTAAAGATATGTTGCAAATGTCAATATTTATCAAAATAACTATAATACTGGAAAGTATAAGTAAATAAAATACATTTCTTTACATGCATGAACGATATCGAGAAACGTTTGCAAATATAACAGAAACATTTGACATCATTTACATTGGTTGTAAATGTTTTATAAATCGCAGTCTCTCAAAACTGCCCACACTTCTGTAAAACAGTTATGCAAATTTTAAACTTTGCATATATCTCCTATCCTGGAAAGTGCATGTAAATCTAAGGCCTATCTTTACATATCTTTGGAATATGAATAAAGCTATGGAAATAAAACAATTATCTTTAGCATATCTTTGAGGACGTCCTAAATAATGCCAAAGGAATAAAACATTTACATATACATTAGTAGGTCCGCAAATATATCTGGCAGAAAAGTAGTTATATTTGTCAAACATTTACATGACTGTCCAAATTGTTGTAAATCTGCCTTTTCATGTAGTGATACCCAAGGCAAAAGTACAATGATCATTTGGCAAAGGTTAAACTTTCAAAATCAGAAAATAAGGCAACTATAGACTATTACAATTTAAAATAGTATGGCAATTTTTTACCATTGGAGGTTTGAAAGACTGTTAACTAAAGTAAAAGAGAATGATGAGGGAAATTTTAAAGTTTATGTTTTTCTAGAGTTGTATGGTACTTTTGGAAAAACACATAAAGAAATATGTAAAAGCGGCCTATTATTATTATAGACCATAGAATTAAAACCCGTTTTATCAAAAGAGTTTTGCAGAAGAGGACAGGTTGATTAAATCGATTTCCAATCAAAGTGAGATGGAAACTATATTTTCTTATGGTGTACCAAGATCACCTAACAAAAATTATATTTCTAGAGCTCTTTCGTCAAAAAAGGCAATGTTTTCACAATATTTGGTGTGCCACATAAACAGCAAGGTGACAAAGGTCGTGAATTTACAGCTAAGGTTATATCTGAATTAATGATAATGTGGCCAGAACTATTTATTGTTCACGGGAAGCCAATACATCTCCAATCACAGGGTAGTATTGAGTGGTCAGACCGAAATATTCATGACATGCTTACTGCATTGATGAGGAACAACGAAATAACAGTGGTCAATTGGAATCAAATTCGTCCATATACAAAAGAATTCTGCTCTACACAAAGGTATTGGACGATCACCAGGTACAAATGTTAGAAAAAAATAAAACTGTGAAGTCTGTGCCATAGCCTCGCATCAATTGGTAACAAATAAATTTCAATACAAATTTTATATCAATATAAAAATAAGGAGATGTAGTACGATTGCCAATGGGACAACAATTCAACAAGTTTAAATATATTTTAAGTGGTTTATTCAATGAGTTTTAACATCAATATTTTACTTATGATTTTATTGAAATTCAAACTTCAGTTCTTATTATTTTATTATGTACAAAATGTATTTTAACTTTGAATAGATTTCTTTTTATCTACTCTCATTTTCATTTTAGGCATTAACATTAATGCCTGGACATAATTTTCAGGATTTAAGTTTAAATCCTAGGATTTAAGAGTAATGCCTAACATTATTTAGGCAATAGTCTTACTGCCTAGGCGTTAGCTTATTGCCTAGGATTTAAGCTTAATGCCTAATTTCACTTATTGCCGCTAACATATATATTGGGATTTTAAATACATCCTTTTCTCAAAGTTTGATAGTAAACTGTTTCTATAATTAGAAATATGACAAAAACAGGCAAAAATCGTAAGCCTTGTAAATATTGATTGATTTTAGTTTGAAGTTGTGAAATAAGTAGTCTCAGATAACAGTTAAGGTTTATTCCAAGGAATCTTCTTTATTCCTTATTACAACAAGATTTTACAAGGTATTTTACTGCTGTTAGCAAAATGTGGAGCTATTGAGCTGATATTTCTTCTTAGTAGTTACAGATTATTGGTGAGTTTTGTTCAGTTTGACTCATTTATGTCATGATTTTTAGCATTGGACTTGAAAATATCATGTTATATATTATACAGCAGATCTTTGGTTGTATTATGTAGTTTTTTTGTCTGTAAACTATGTCATACAGCATTAAACCATGTCTAAAAATTCGAAATTTCCATTTGCAATACAGGAACACTCACAGAATATTGGGGACAAATGAATTTCTTTACAAAATTAAAGTTATTCAAAGATATAAATGTACTTTCTATAAGGACTCAATAGAAACCACAGAACACATATTCAGGATTTTTCCAAATATTTGAGGAATGAGGAGAACTAAATAGAATATATTCAAAAGTACAAATTAGACTACCACTTAACTTGGAAAAAACTACATAAAAAACCTCTTGATATTGTTAACAAAGTATTATAGATACAAACAAAAAAAAATGAAAAAATGCTAAACGGACAAGTAAATATTATAGCATTAAGGAATTATCTGAAAGAAAATTTGTTAATTGAAAAAAATCGTATTTTATATATAAAGTAGGCATTGTAAAGAGCATACTCGTGCTGGAAAACCTGGTTCCAGATAATAGAATAATTAAAAGAAGTAATTTGTTTAGTTATAAAAATACCCCCTCAATCCAGACTTCTTAGGTTTATCATTAGTATTTGTCCAATGGTTCATTTATAGAATAGGCAAAAAGAAACATCTATATGCACTTGTCTTGCATTTTCAGATATAACTATGGACTAATCACCATAATCATTGAAACATGTATTTTTGCCAATAAACACATTACAAAAAGAAACCATTGAACTAGCCATATTGTGATGTAGTTTTACAGGATAAAAGGCATTTTGTGATGTAGTTTTACAGGATAAAAGGCATTTTGTGATGTAGTTTTACAGGATAAAAGTGCTTATGATACCTGTTTTTTTTTCTCAACAGGATACCTGTTTTAGGGAGCCATTAATGACTTATACAGATGCTGAAATTAAAGAAAGGAATTTAAAGTATTATAACACTGATGTCCATAGGGCATGTTTTACCCTTCCCCAGTTTGCAAAAGAGGTAGGGTTTAAAATATTTATTAACTATCCATTACCTAAATTGAAGTGTGAAGACATTTGTTAAATTACAGTTTTATCTGTTGTACAGTTGTTAGGCCATTGGGCAAACCATTAAATGCAGTTTGGTAGGCAGCTTTCCATGAGAGTGCTTTTTCTGTTGTACCCTGCTCAGAAAATATTGTGCCAATTGAAGCCAAAGTTGGTCACATTACTGCTTTAGGATGTCTAGTTTCAGATTTGTTTTTGCTGACCAACCAACATTGTTGCAGTCACTTAAAATAGAATATAATGGTTATGTGTAAGTTATTGTCTCCTATCCTGAAAATAATAATAGATAAAAAAACAAGTTGCTTTCTTTAAAAAAAGAAAAGCAATACGTAAACCCGAGACAGCTGACTGGTCACCAAAAAATTGTTGCTGAATTTTTGTTTGCTTTTGATTTGAAATAATTGACCGTGAATAGAATAAGATAACGATGATGTTAAAAAACTTTATTGAAAATATGTAATTGTGTGTAGATTCTTGCACAACTCAATTAAAAGAAATGTTGGATAGTTGTGAATAGAAAAGTGAATATATACAGCTAATATTTGAATTTACATTTTAAGGCTTGACTAATTAATTTATTACTTGGGAGTGTACATCATTTTTTCATAATCCCATTGCAAATCCCAGTTTCTGCAAACCGTATGTCTAATGCAAATTACACAAACCAATCGCAATATATTAATTTAAGCACTCCGTTTGCTTTATAATCTGTACGCATTTATTTATCTATCATATCTTCATATTTTCTTTCCTGGATGCCTTCAGTTATTCTTATACTCGTTATTGAAGCTGTCATGTACTCATAGTAGATATTGTATAGATAAATTTAAAGTCCAATTTCCATGAGAAGTGAGACCCTTGGTATGCAACTTATAAGAAGGTTTCGTATATTTTTCTTGAGAGTAACACACCAGCTTCATTGGGACCTCTTATATACTGACAATTATTTTGGTCTCATAAAACATCTCAAATTTTAAGGATTTCCTGAAGTTACTTAAATCAATCCAAAAATTCTGCAGGAAAACTTGGTTTTGAAGAATATCTTATTTTCAGAAGTTTTATAAATTCCTGAACATATTCTCAAAAGAACCAATTTATATAAAAAGATTTGAAGATATAAAAAGATACCAGGATTAAAATGTTGAACACCAGATGCAAAACCAGTCTACAAAAGACTCATCAGTGACGCTCAAATAACAAAAGTTAAAAAGGCCAAATAAAGTACAAAGTTGAAAGGAATTGAGGACCCAAAATTTCGAAAACAAAGGTTTTGTCGAATACATCTGAAGTAATCTATTCCTGGGGTAGAAAATCCTTAGTATTTCGAAAATGTCAAAGTTTATAATATGGCAGCCACTCAAAAAAAAAAGAGAAACAGCTAGAGGTCAGAATACCTTTAGTAATGATGACCATGCTTGAAAGTCACATGTCAAGCTCTTCCTGCTGTGTCTTGAATTTAGATTAAAAAAAAAGCAAAAATTTACATTTGAGAGTGAAATTAATAATTATGTATGCACGTGGTTTTTTTTTGCGCAGAAATAGTAAATAGAAAGCATATGCACTAATACTCTGGATAAGAATATGCATTTGTGTCATCACATATATTAATCTAGGCTCAAATCTAATGTTTAATAGTTGAATTCGGATGTCAAACTACCGACCTCAAGTGTTTTGACTCTGGATTCATTGCCATTTAATCTGGAATTTGCGTGACTGCAAACCGATAGTGTGTCGTGTGAACAGGGTGATATATCATGTAAATGAACCAAGACGTGTAGGATAGCTGATCAACACAATGAATACAATTTTCAAAACCATACCATATTGCAAAGATTTAGATGCTATAAAGTTTAACTATTAAAATAAAAGAATTGAAAATTGATAATTGATATATATATACATTCCTGTTAATGAATCTTTTCCAAAATTTAGAATATAATATCAATAAACACAAACAACAAGTATTTACTGATGGACATTTTATTTATCAAATCAATCTCTTCTTAAAGTCTAACTCTCCACTATATGAATATATTGCTATACAAAATATTAGCAGAGACTTATAAATCCATATTAAAACAGTATAAAATAATTAACGTAGTAGTTAATTTTTTTTAATGATTATTGTAAAATATTAATTACGTTTTTAGTGAGATGCAAGGATTTAAAATCTTTGTGAATTGAAACCATGCAAGTATTTTTTCATTCACTACCGTTTAAAATTTAGATACTAACTTATGTGTACGCATCCCTGCTCATTGGTGCTCATACATCGCATATAATTTTCATAAATGTATTCACTGTTCAAACCTGTGGAACATAATACACGTATATATCAAACCTGTGGGACATAATACACGTATATATAACATTGTTAGCTCACTTGGCCCGAAGGTCCAAGTGAGCTTTTCTCATCACTTGGCGTCCGTCGTCGTTGTCCGTCGTCGTTAGCTTTTACAAAAATCTTCTCCTCTGAAACCACTGGGCCAAATTTAACCAAACTTGGCCACAATCATCATTAGGGTATCTAGTTTAAAAAATGTGTCCGATGACCCGGCCAACCAACCAAGATGGCGCATGGCTAAAAATAGTCATAGGGATAAAATGTAGATTTTGGCTTATAAATACTGAAACCAAAGCATTTAGAGTAAATCTGACATGGGTGAAACTGATTATCAGGTCAAGATCTATCTGCCCTGAAATTTTCAGACAAATCTGACAACCCGTTGTTGGGTAACTGCCCCTGAATTGGTAATTTTAAGGAAATTTTGCAGTTTTTATTGGTATGACGTTGTCGTCGTCGTCGTCGTCCGAAGACACATTGGTTTTGGCACTCTAACTTTAGTTTAAGTGAATGGATCTCTTTGAAATTTTACCATAAGGTTCAATACCACAAAAGGAAGGTGGGGATTGATTTTGGGGGTTATGGTACCAACAGTTAAGGAATTAGGGACCAAAAAGGGGCCAAAAATAAGCATTTTCTAGTTTCCAGACCATAACTGTGGAACGGTGTATGGATCTCTCTGAAATTATACTACAAGTTTCCATACCACAAAGGGATGGTTAGGATTTGCTTTGGGGGGTTATGGCTCAAACCGTTCAGGAATTAGGGGCAAAAAAGGGGGAAAAACAAGGTTGTCCTGGTTAATGGACAAATACTTTAGTACAAAACATAATTTAAAGCAGTGTAAGGGAGATAAATCAAATACATCATTGAAATTATCTCCCTTACACTGCTTTTAAATTATGTATAAAGTAATGGTTAATGAACAATTAAGATAATTTAAAACAGTGTAAGGGAGGTAATCCAAATACAACGTTTTGGTTACTTCCCTTACACTGCTTTTAAATTATGTTTAAAGAAATGCATATTTATAAAGGAAGACCAGTAAAAATATCTGCAAATGGTGCATCTTTTTTTTTTACAAAAAAATCCATATGAAAGATTTGACACTATATTTTAAATTCTATTATAAAATAGATTAAGTTAGCACTATGGTAAATTTAAATGGGTAATTATGGTTGCAAACTCCATTTGAAATTTGAATTGAGATTATGACCATATCTTGAGGGAAAGAATTTTTTGGGGAAAAAAAGGGGGGGGGGGGGGGTAAAAAGAAATTGTGGGGGGTCAATTTTTTCTCATTTCAGATTTCAGAAATTAAAAAGAATTATTCTTCAAATATTTTTTTTTTTTTCAAATTTCAAATATTGAAATATTTCAAGAAGTAATCTTTAATTGCACAGTATGGGGCATTAGATTTGTAAAATCTTTGACCACATTTATTAATTTGTTATGCCGGATCTAACCGTGTATTTAGATTTTTAATTTTGGGTCCAGTTTTCAAATTGGTCTACATTAAGGTCCAAAGGGTCCAAAATTAAACTTAGTTTGATTTTAACAAAATTGAATATATGGGGTTCTTTGATGTGCTGAATCCAAACATGTATTTAGATTTTTGATTTTTGGCCCAGTTTCAAGTTGGTCCAAATTGGGGTCCAAAATTAAACTTTGTTTGATTTCAACAAAAATTGAATATATGGGGTTCTTTGATATGCTGAATCTAACCATGTAATTAGATTTTTTATTTGAGGACCCCGCTATCAAATTGGTTCATATTGAGGTCAAAAGGGTCCAAAATTAAACTTTGTTTGATTTCATCAAAAATTGAATTATTGGGGTTCTTTGATATGCCAAATCTAACCGTGTATTTAGATTTTTAATTTTGGGTCCTGTTTTTTAAATTGGTCTACATTAAGGTCCAAAGGGTCCAAAATTAAACTTAGTTTGATTTTAACAAAAATTGAATTCTTGGGGTTCTTTGATATGCTGAATCTAAACATGTGTTTAGATTTTTTATTATGGGCCCAGTTTTCAAGTTGGTCCAAGTTGGGGTCCAAAATTAAACTTTGTTTAATTTCAACAAAAATTGAATATATGGGGTTCTTTGATATGCTGAATCTAAACATGTATTTAGATTATAGATTTTTGGCCCAGTTTTCAAGTTGGTCCAAATTGGGGTCCAAAATTAAACTTTGTTTGATTTCAACAAAAATTGAATATATGGGGTTCTTTGATATGCTGAATCTAACCATGTATTTAGATTTTTTATTTGTGGGCCCGCTATCAAATTGGTTCATATTGAGGTCAAAAGGGTCCAAAATTAAACTTTGTTTGATTTCATCAAAAATTGAATTATTGGGGTTCTTTGATATGCCAAATCTAACCGTGTTTTTAAATTTTTAATTTTGGGTCCCGTTTTTTAAATTGGTCTACATTAAGGTCCAAAGGGTCCAAAATTAAACTTAGTTTGATTTTAACAAAAATTGAATTCTTGGGGTTCTTTGATATACTGAATCTAAACATGTGTTTAAATTTTTGATTATGGGCCCAGTTTTCAAGTTGGTCCAAGTTGGGGTCCAAAATTAAACTTTTTTTGATTTCAACAAAAA